ACCAAAAGTTTTAGAGTTTTGTAGCATCTAGATCTGCCACTTTCTGCTCTAACAGGAGATGTCATTACAATGATTTTTTAATATGTGCTATCTTAGTGGTTAGAGCACTAACCAGGACATGGGAAACCCAGGTTCACATCTCTCTACTTAGTTGGTGGTTTTGAATACAGACTTCTCACCTCTGAGAAATGTGCCTTGAAGGCAGAGATGTAGGATGTTTCAAGGTGCCATTTTCTCAGTCTCTCTTGCTAGAGCTGTACAGCTTTGCATGAAGTATTCTCCTGTTCACTGGTGTAGGAACAAAATGACACAGATGACTGACAGTCACTAGGCTATAGAGATCCAAATCCAAATCCAAAACTTTAACCACACGCACATATCATTCTGCTCTTGTATTTCTCTTTTTATAAACACTACAAAAACCTACATTTAAAGCCTCAGATATCAGAGGGTAATGGCTAAATAAGAATTCCAAAAATTGCTCATATAGCTTGTCATCACGTTAATGTAGATGACTAGAACATTACCCTATAGTAATGATTTTATATGAGATTTGATTGTTCTCTTCATATTCTTATCAGCCTCTGGGATATCTCTACCATTTTATAATGTATTTGGAAATTACTCTCAAATCTTTCTGGTATCCTATTGAGATCCTATTTCTGATATACCTATTGTATTTGTCTTGTTGCCTGCACATTGAAAAAATTCCAGGTCCATTAGAACAAGAGAAAGAATGAATGACATATTATCACACATGCAAGCTAAATGTCAGGATTCCCCCCTCAGCATGTGTACCTGTCTGTGCAAAGTCCGGCAAAACTAAAGGGCTGCTGAATGGGTTACAGTTACCAGTTGTTTGCCCTTTGTTAAGCTTTGTAAGCACTGAGGTACCCTCCACATATTATATTTATACTAGGCTTACCATATTAATTGTGGCACAAAGATGAAAGGTTCTACATATACACCTGATATAAGGCAGCATAATAAGGGGAGCAACACATAAAAATCTTCAATATACATCATAGAACAGTTTTATAGAGCATTTGCATGACTTCTTAAATTGGTTCATCTGATTGTCATCTCAGTTGGAGGTGGGGGGAAGAGGGATGGGCCGTGGGGAAACTGAATGGCCTTCTGATAGGGACTTTAAACCCCATGCTGAGCAGCACTGGTAGAGGTTTCCAGTGGGAGGTGTAGCTTTTGGCTTCCCCCCAAAGCATTTGGACTTTAAACCCCATGATGATAAGCTCTGGCCAGCTGCATCTGAGGACATCACTGGGGACAGCTGGTTGTCAACTGGTGTCTTGAAGTCTGGGGCCTTAAACCAGCCCTGGTGTGGTCCCTGCTGGATCAACAGTCAGCTGATTATTGGCCCAATGGGGACAATACTACGGCTAGTTTCAGCCCCGGTGCAGTTCCTGGGCTGGCTGACAAACACTTGATTTCTGAGTACCTGGGTTTCAGCTTGCTAGGATCATAATCCCAGCCTCTGCCTGCACCGGCAAGTATGACATGATTGGGATCTGAATCCCAATCCCAATCCCAAAACCATATGTCCTGTCATGCATGTGTGCACAAAAGCCATATCCTCAATAATAGCAGCTGATTTCTTGGAAGTAGCATTTGGCATAAAGTTACTGCATTATTTCCAATCAAGATCCATGATAAGGCTGCTTTGTCCACCATGCTGAGCATTTGACAGGTTTAAAAAGTGATGGAGGGTATCCAGACTGCTTGTGCTATACAGGAAAATGCATGTCAAGCTTTCTACCTGCTGCAACCACTGGGAGTAGCTTTTGCTGGATCTCCTTTGTACTCTGCATCTGTTTCATTTTTGCTGTGCTGTCCCATAGTTGACATTATATCCCTGAATGTTTTTTATTTGATTTGGGTATGTTTGCACAGAAGCTCTCAGTAGCATCTTCAGTAAGACGTTTCTGGATAATGGTGTTCACAATTTCTCTTCCTTTATCATGTGCATTCAGAATGTTTAATGCAGTATCTTCCTGCACAGCATCTCCTTTAGAAATACATAACAGCTCATTGTTGGAAACCTTAAATAAGCGGAACCTTTTGAACTGCACTTGTAACAAGTTGATATTGTTGTAATCTTGTTTCAGTCATGTCCTTTCTCTTTCATTATGATTGAAAAATGTTGTACTCATCCCAAACATTTTATTTAGGTTTTCTTGGTGATTTCTTGCTTCATTTGCTTTAGTGTGGTCATAGGATGTTCACCTCCTTCATCTTCCACTAAATTGCAATATTTTTCAAGTATATCTTTTAGACTGTACACATTTTTCCACACAAAGCCAGAATCTAGTTAATCAACCACTTGATGCCATGCTCTTGCTTCAGAAAAAAGCAGACTATCTTCTTGCAAAATCTCCACATGCAAAAGGAAATGAGAGACTTGTTTGTTCCCACCTGCGTTCAGGATGGTAACATGCCTCAGCAGCTGTTAGATCTTCAGCATCAATTTGGCAATGCAACACTTCATTCTTCTCTGCCAGCCTGTGTACTGCAGTGACTGAATTAAACAACAGTTGTCTCATTCTCCTCTTATCAGTACATTTGTGGCTGAGTATGCACATATCCAAGTGAACTGCTGGACTTGGTAGTCTACTTGATGTACTAGCATGTTCTTCACTTGCTGTTGATGGTAGGGTTTCCCTTTCATTTTCTACTTTGCACAACTTTCTTAATGGTCTCTCAATATGTCCTTTGTGTGTAAAAGAACTGTAGCAAGGACATTGCGAATTGAGGCTTTTAAAATGTTGCAGTGCAGCATCAACACAATGTGATAGTCTGCCAAGAATACTGCCACAAAAAGCATTGAATTCAGCAACTGTTCTACATTAAACGAGTGCCTCATTTATTTATGCAATTCCAGAAGGTGTACTTCGGTTAATCATTGACTGGAAGCCTACTTTGAGACATATGATGCATCTTATAGATTCTGAGTCATACCTCCCGTGCTTCTCTGAACTCAGTGATGCTATTGGCTCCATTGTAGTGTTTGCTTAAGGGCAATGAGGGCAAATCCCTTGTCAACAATCTCCAGTGGAGGTTTTCATGTCGAATTATTCTGAAGCAGAACAGAGTGGATGTAGCAATTTTGCAAAACTTTCAGGTATCTAATAATGAACAAAATGGTAAATTTGCAGCAGCCATCTTGGAATCCAATGTGGCTACCACAATGGAAATGTTGTGATTCATCTCCTTGGTTCATACAATGTTGGTTTTGATACTAAAATACATTTTCTAATCCTAGTTGGGGCTGAAATATTGGCCAAAATATGAATTAATGGCAGCCATTTTGCATTCCAATGTGGCAGCTATATGCACTACTTGGCAGATTTGCGACATGACTTTTCTGATATGGGTAGACTATCTCTACCTGAAAAACACTGTTGCCACTTGTGGCAATGAGTTACTTATGGGGTGATATCTTTACCCTTCTTTTTTACCCTACTATAATTGACTGTCAGATTCCACACAGGCTGCTAAGTACTTTTAGATACATCTTTGCTTATCTAAGATATAACACCAATATTAGAGAGTATTAGAGAACTAAGCTCTATGTATGGAAACTGTGCTCCATATTTTTATCATCATAACCTTCAAATATTTTTAGTGAGAAGTTAAAAACAACCTTTGCAAGTATCCCACATGTTTGAATAACCATAAGTGGCTTCTCCATCTTAGTGAATAATTTTTGAATATCTCCAGCCCAGCATTTTCTCTGGTTGGCAGTCAGCTAAAAAAGAAGTACATGGGAACAGAATATATGAATATATATATTCACCGTTGTTAAGCCAAGCTGGAAGGTCCCTAAATATTTTTAGACAAAAGCATAATAATTAGCTCAAGCTCAGGTGATCACAAACATACAAAGGATTCAGCTAGTAATTGCTTCCCTTTCTGCAGATAATAGCGTTATTCTTCCCCTGTGCAGGAAAAAAAAAATGTTCCAGAAACTCCACCAGAGGAAACAGAGTCACTGCTGCAATTTCAGTATTCTCATCCACTTTTGTGTTAACTGCAGACTTTGAGGTCAGAAAGCACTTTTCCCTTTGTTATAGAGAAAAGAAACAAAAAAATCCCAAAGGAACCTACTACACTCTGCAAAAGGTTATCTGAGAAGTACAACCATCAGTCAGGGTATTTGAAGGAAGATTGCAGTGGAATTAGTAGTCCCCACAAATGTTTCAATTCATAATCAAATTAGCAGCTCAAGGTTTAGGGAATGAATTCAAATAGATACACTCAGTCTGTGTAGACTTCATAATTCTTCATTCCTTTCTTTTATTTAGGAGATAATAATAATTAAATATGATTTGAAATTGAATGTAATAAAGTACAGCTTAGCAATATTTCAGGATTCATAACAAAAATAATTAGATCCTCTGATATTATTTGAAACCAGACGGTTATAACCCTTTATTAAACTTAAAAAAAAAAGAAAGAAAGTAGGAAAGAAAGAAAATGATGAATTTGTCAGCTTTATTGGAATCCAGAATGAAACCCTGTCTTTAAAGAGATACATTATATTTTTTATTGCCTTAGCTATCTGGGGGACATTCTCTCCCATTTTGCTTCTCCTTTCCCCATCGTTAGAAACCAAAGATTTCCAACCTACACAGCTGTTCCTGTAGTTTCTTTTGTACTGTGAAAAAATGCAACATGAAAATGAAATCTCATAAAATAGAAAAATGACAATATTTTCAAACAATAGAGAATGAAATTGAGACATTAGGCAATGTCATTATTGGACGACTAACAGTTTCACAATACAACAGAATAATTAATTACTGCTGTCTCCTGGAATGCCCACACACTGTGTACTAAAGTCATCATTTCCCGGCCATGGGATATACTAGTCAGCTGCTGGTACCTGGTTAGAACTGGAGGCATTTAGTTTACTTAATGCATGGATCCTCTGCTTTACACAATTTTGACTACTCAGTTATTTTTTTTAACAAATTCATTGTAGCTGGATCCCAAAGCTATTCTATATGTGGCTTTAGGTCTCATTCAACATACAAGGGAGTTTCATGAAACTATCAAAAAACTCCAAAGGAAATACAAATCCCTTAAGGAATTTAATTTTACTGATTTCTGGGCCAGTCTTGTGTATCACTGCCTTCTGTGCCCAAAGGTTTTTTTATCATCTTGTTTTCCTTACTTTGCTATATTATAGACACACCAGTTATTTCAATGATGTAGCTTTATTTTCACATGAAGTTGAGTGAGTAGAGTATTCCACAGAATATTTAAAAATATTTAGTACTGTTGGTACATAGAGTCATAGGATCTGCTTCTGCTTTGTGGTAAATGTGAATAACTTTTGATGTCCCTGTGAGCTCAGACATATACAACCTAAGAATTCAGACTTTTGTGGTATGTTTGTAACTTTAAAATAGTTGCTTTAGAAATAACTGCACTAAATATATAAGAAATAATCAATGGAATTAGGAATATATGAACACTGTACAAACTGTATTACAGTTTGGGGACTTACAAAACATTTTCTGAAACTGAGGGGGAAAGAAAATGACTATTAATTTTAACAACAATAAAAAGAAAAAATAAAACAGAAAAAATGGCAATATATTGTATAGAAATATCTCTAAATAGAAAGTTTTCTCTAAGTTAAAGCAAGCCTGTTTCAAATTATACTTATAGCTTTTTGGAAACCTTGATTTTCTCTTTAGGGACCAGTTTTTATGAAGAGTTTTTATTCTTTTAATTTGTGTGAGAAGAACGTGTTTCTTTGATGGCTTTTACTGAAACTCATAACTTTTTTCCTCTCTCTTTTTTTTTTAAATAAAAGAGGCTTTATTCAACAATAACAAGGGTCACACTGGGAAAGAGATGCTGCTATTAAAATCTTTGAAATGAAAAATAACGACAGTTGAAAGAGATTTTTTTTCATTCATGCTGTTAAATTGAGGATCATCATTTCTTCCTTTACTATTTCCAAGATGTTTTTTTCTTTCCCGGTGTACTTGCTAAAGACTATAAAGCCACAGTTACAAAACTGGTCCTTTTAATAAAGAAAGAAAGTATTTTTACCAATATTTTCTTGTGCTTGTGTTAAGAAAAAGACAGGCTACCTATATCAGCTCGTGTATTTACAGAGATAGACAGTGGAAGACCTAGGCAATTGTCTACATCAGAGGTTGGCATCCTACAACCCACAGACCAGATCTAGCACACAAAGGACACCTATACAGTACACATGAAGTAAGGCTGCTCTGACATGTTGTAATTACAACGTACCAAAGCAGATCGATTAATCAAGTCTGTACCACACTCCAGCAGACTCCAGGGTCATGTGTATCAGCATCCCCACACTGAGAAATGGTGGTAGGAGTTAAACAACCTTTAGTTAAAGCACTCCCTTTAACTAAAGCATCTTGGCCACTATTTTTCAGCACGGGGACTCTGGTACACGTGATGCTCCAGGCACTTTAATTAGAGCGGCTCTTGGAGTCATTCTAATTAAAGCACCCTCCCCACCCCCAAAGCACATGTATAAATGCCCCAAATGCTTAGATCAGGCCCAGAGTAACAAAGAGGATCAGCAACATGCAGTTCAGTCCAGCAGGTCCCCTCTCTGTACTCTGCCATGCTGCATCACTGCTCTTCCTTGCAGAGCCCCTACCCCATTCCCTCACAAGGTATCTGGATCCTAAATCCAGAGCCAACAGTGGTGAGAAAGTAAAAGATAATCTGTCCATGCACAGAGACTGGTGGCCTACAGTGGTGCGGCGGGTCAGCA